GACCTTCTCGCAACAGCGCCTATTTAAGGTTCATAGAGCATAATAGTTCGTTATGTCACTGCTCTATTTCGACTTCTACTCAATTATTTCGATACGGGTTTGACCTTCCAAAATGTCCTGGCTAACCGCCTGGATGCTTTCTTTGACATACCAACATGTTTCGTAATGGCAACTAATTTGACTTGAAAAAATTTGAATTTCTTCAAAAATCGGACAGGATTTATGGGACAACCCAATATTATCGAGCGCTTTAACCCCACCAATGATCTGAGGTTGTTGCTTTAAAGGCACGAGTTGGAATTGAGCTAATGCGTTTTGATTGAAAATTAGGCAAGGATGCAATGAGGATCATTAGTGTAGAGAAAAAGCAAAAAGCGCATAGGAATACACCTATTTCCCTTATAAGCCGGCCGTGTGTATGACAGAGAGACACACCGCTGCGAAAAGAGGGAAAACGCGAGATAGTACGTCGTCCGCGAGAGGGCGCAATGACCACGTATGCCATGGTTGATAAGGATGACAGCACGGCAGCACACAAGGCAAGGCTTTTAGGCCGCTGCCTGCACCTTTCGAGTCGCGACAGGTCATCGTGCCGTCTGCCTTGGACGCCCTTATTCTTGCACTTTCAGAGAGACTTTATAGAAACTGGCCGTTGGCATCCAATCCCGACTCGTAGCTTTAAAGGCAAAAAGTTTGGGCTCAGACCCACTCAATGAACCTTTACGGTGGCCAGATACGCAAGTGTAGAGGTCGCGTCACTTCCCTAAGCGTTACTTAGACGCTAGGCGCTAAGAACTTTGACACGCCCGTTGCGACACGCTCCGCCCACCGCTCGATATCTTGTCTGCGTCGCTAATGTTGATCTGCTATGCTCTCTCTACTCGGACTTCTCTACGCTCTCCGCGCTCACATTATCTCTCATCTCCCTGCCGGCCTTTTGAACTTCTCCGCAGCGTAGAGCAAAAGGCTCGTATTTCCTGTGTATTTCACGATTTTTTTCTTTTTTCTCCACTGGCGGTCCACTTCCTACCCCTACTTTCACATTTGAGTGGAATTACCTCATAATTCAATCCTGAATCTTGCCTTTAAGTTCGTCGTTGTAAATTGCACACCAATATCTCATAGTGGTTCAGGATATTTTCACCAAAATTATAATTGGCTCAAACAAGTTGGACGGTATCACTACACTAAATTTTACTGGTAATACAGTAATGTAGCGCTACATACAACGTGTCAAAATTTCAGTGGAAGGGAACGGAAATTAAAGCTGATTATGTCGATCCCTGGAAACGCAGAAAAAGAGAAGAGATTCGCAGTTAGATAGGTATATCAGGAACCGGAAGATGCAAAGAGGAGAGGGTTATTGAGACTGGGAATCATACCTGTGGCTGGCACATCTGAAGACATTGTTCACCGATCTGAGCAACACCATTTGCACGACAGCATTCTGTGTTGTCATGAGTCTGAGCGGCACAGTGAACTATGGATGGCAAGTACTTGTAGAGGCGACAACGAGACGGTTGAATCGTGTGCATAAGCTGAAATAAGAAACTACGCAAAACTCCGCGAGAGCGGCTGAAATGATTGGTCCCAGCCTTTTTTTCACATGTAAGGGATTTTCACATTTTTCTCAAACAGTATATATAGTAGAATGGTATGGTTTCAAATCCGCTATCCATCAGAGTCTTTGATCCGCAGAGTCGGAGGCCAGTTTTCGTGCAAATCCTAGTTTTAGTTCAATTCTTCTTGGAGAAATCTTTTTTCTTTCATATCACTTCCTGACAACTTCTAGTTCCGTGCAATTACTCATCAAATGAGTCTTCTTCAATTAAATCTGAGTGGAAATGACTCATAGCTACGAATATTGAAAGCGTCCAGCAATTTTTCCTGCGCAATCAGGTAGCGCGGGGGTTAAAGCATAACATTTCGTATTCGATGACGAAAAGCAAGTGATTCATATTCCGAAGCAGCAGTCACCCCCGGCTCCGCCAACCGTGGCGCAGTCATCACTGTAACACAAATAGGAAAATCGGAATGCGGGAATGCCCATGTCCAAGGATAGTTGATGTGATGTGCACTCGCATTTTGCACAAGTGCCGCAAGGTTAGGCTGGTGTCAGAGTCCTCCCTCCGCTGCGCGCGAATCGCAGAAACCACGAGTGCCCCATTTGAACGCTTGGAACACTAAATATGAAAAAAGTAGAATCATGAACAGTCGCCAGTCAATAATCACTGAAATGGCGATGAGATTGGAGAGCACTTCGCAGTATTGATCGGGGCAATTGTGGTTTCTGGGGTTCGACGCAGCAACAGATCGCGGACTCTGACATCAGCCTTAGCAGCGTGCGCTATTGGTGTAGCAGGAGCCATAGTTCACGACCGGTGACTGTGGGCAATCCACCTACTTTGGGCGATGGCTGCGATAAGGGTAAGTTAGCGTTAGCGACTACTTCTGCTGAATATTACTTACTTATTTTATTTGTAGTTTCGGAAATCGGGAATATGAAAGGGAATTACCGTTCAATAAGAAGCAAAATATTGCACTCTGATGCACAGTGCATGGGCAAAGGCTGAGCGCCACGTGCCATGCCTGTGGTTTGTGAGCTGCTGCTCATCACTGTTCTCCTTATAACGGGTAATGAGAGATGAGAGTACAGAGGCCGTATCCTATACTTTCCCCAAGGAGGACACGTTCCATTCCGCTCCCCCCCCCTAGCCGATGCGATGAGGGTTGTGAGTGACAGGGCTGCGTCGGAGGATCCGCTGTAGCATTGTCTTTCTGCCTTCCGGATACTCAGAGCAGAGCGACTCCTCAGAGGAGAGATTGCTTCAGTAGTGATGGTCCAACCCTTCCTACCTAACCTTAGGATTGCATCGGTGACAGAGGACGCGTCGCTCTGGGAGGAGAATAGTATATGGCCCCAGCACCCCAGCCGACTTCGTCCTTATGCTTGTAGGGAAGGCACTGTAACATGACGAGGGCAAACCTTCACCGTGAGGGTTCCGAGAGCCAACAGAGGCCATTTCAAGTGAAAAAGAAGAGGCTAAGTATCGTCCAGAGGGGTGAGAACACCCACTTGCAGCTTCGGCATCAATACTGCTTTGATTTTTACTTATTATAAAAATACAGAATTGGCGTTTTCATTGTTTGTATTTTCGGGCATTTTTATTCATGCAACAGAAAATCTCATAGGTAAAGCAGCGATAGAAGAAGATCTAGGCGTGTCTATGACTCAGCCTCAATGCACGTGCAGCGTCCTATTTGACACGTTTACTGTACTTATACTTGTTCAGAACGGTTGCTAAATTGAAAAACGCATACTCACAACGACTCTGGCTTCGATCGCATTCGTCTCATAGATGCACAAGCCACGGCACTCAGGTGGAACAAATCGCTCACAGCATGAGCCGAACACCTGATCAGCGACTTTTCTTTCTATACAAGGCTTCCAGTTTGAGCCAGCCGTACCACAGTTCTGAAAAAAAAACATTTAGCGGCTTTCGTTTTTTTATCCTGCAAGGCCATGTAGAACGTATCACGCTGACGACATCCATCTACCCACTGTTTTTTTTTACAATTTTCATCAGTAGTAGTTATTTCAGTGAAAACTTCATCACTAGCAACAAGTATTTGCCGTATCCTGTGATAGCTACGGTCAGTTTTGGAACAAGAGAATTAATGGGAAATTTAACAGAAGTAGTCTTCTCTGTGAGACGGGCTAAAGTGCAGAGCGAATGTGTCCCGCATGTCGCCAGCAGGATGAGCAACGGTTCAGGAATTCCTGAAGAAGGCTCTGTACAGTGTGACAATAGTGCCAAGAGAGAATGCAGAGCGTGGAGAGCACAGACGGTTGATCGAAAATTTTTTGGCGAGTCGTAGAAGAATTCTCGACCGATTTTCATTCTGGTCAAGCGTACCAAATATTTGACGTACTCAGATGCTGCCACGATTCTTAATGGAAGTCCAATGTATGGCACACTCTACACAGGAGACTGACCTTTCTGTGAGTCTGATTTTTACGCATATGTGAAATTCAGAACTAGGGGGTGAGAAATTTGCTCGTTGGTATGAAATTTAAGTTGTGATCCTACAAAAAATTTCATCCTGGAATGTGTCGCTCGCTATACATATAGGCGAATCAGGACAGGGCCACCTGTCGCGCTCGCACTTTTCCGAATTTTGTGGGCCCCTGCACTTTTTAGGGGACTTGATGAGATCCCTCACCACCACCAACAGCCTTGAGAGGCTCCCCAATACGACTCGCCTCCCCTATCCCCGACCACCACCCTCGCCATCATGGCTGTTTCTATAGTATTTGATTCTGAGACCAGTCGACACAGCCCAATTCCGCCCACTTTATCTTAATACGGCCGTCGGAGGAAGGGGAGAGAGGGGGGGGGGAGTAAATATGCCTAACAACGACGTTTTTGCCAAAACCATCAAATCCTGCTAACCCTAATTCCAGCCCCTAATTAAAATACAGCCCTTGATTCGAGTTTTCCCATTCTGGTCACCTTTCTCAACGATAAATGCGACCCGCTCAGAATTGCAAGTGCGACCCCCTCGTTCGAATAGTACGAACAGACGGCTGGTTTTGACTAGGACTCCTATAATCTATCTCTTAACTTTTATTCGGATGGAGTAAGGAAGAGAAAGCTACGGATGGCCCTATACTAAGCGCGCTATTATATAAGGTTAGTTTTGGGCCACCCAAGAAAACCAAATTAACCTCGGCGTCATCCACTTCATATTAGCTGCCTTTAGAACTATACATAGATGTGGTCTCGTTTTCTGACGAACCGACCTTTTGAAGACTGAGAAAACCGGGGATGAATCTCCCATCATTTTCCTTCGATTTCACTTTTGACAGGCGATCCAGACCGCGAGAACTCTTTATCACACGATAATTCAATTAGCATATCATTCCTCGGGCGTAAGGAAAACTGAACTTGCACTCGAATGAGTTATTACATCTACTGGCACCGCACGACGCGCTTTTTGACCTCGGAATTTGGTCGCCATGGACTCATAAGAATCGCAATTGGCTTTACACTATATCTCGATTAAGCTGAAGTCGTTAATTTACTCAAGATGTCACGGTACTTCTTAACGAGGCCATACATTCATACGCGCTAGGAAGGGGGAAGGCCGAGGTTCCACGACCAATGGATCAGTCTACATGCACAAGTCCCAATTCTAATAGGCTTAGTAAATGGATACAAAATAAGGATCAAATCCGCATGCGCCAACCAAGCCATACATCCGTTTGTAGTCGTTTAGTTGGCTGACCTGAGGAATTATACGGTTAACACTAACTGAGATATCAGCTGCGCTGCGCTATTCACAAACACTGTCCCGCTCACAGAGCATTTTTCAACAGACAACGTTCGAGCAGAAGCACTTTGCTTTCGCTTTCTGATCGCTGCTGACCATTCTCGTGAAACCGTCCATTTTTTGCTTCCGTTCACATTTTTCTCAGCCTTTAGAGGCAACAAGTGCGTTTGTAGAGCAGTTGATCACGCCGTGAGCCGCTACTGGTGGAAGGGCGCTGGTGGGTAATGTGGAACCACCTCCCAGCGCCCTTCCACCAATGACGTCCAGGTACCCAATCTTCACTACTCCACCTCTCACACAACGCACCCACTGCCTTTAAGGCCACCTGAATTAGTTTTTCGTGCACCCATGTGAGTGGGTAATAAATAAATAAGTCAATAAACGAGTTCTGATGAGCCGCTTGAATTCCAGTGAGAAGGGTGGGGTAGTTGGTGCAGTAGCTCGTGCCACCTACACTAATTGCAGTTTCGCATACGGGAGGAGCCTGAGGTGCGCGAACCATTTCGCTTCCCTTATACACCCAGTCCGGACCTTCTCTCCCTGCAAAAATGGGATTGCTGCGGGCGGCACGATTGCACCATGTACCCTCCCCTCACGTTATTGGAATAGACCCGAAATCTGTCCAGGGCAGGTTGCGACGAGACTGCTCTGCATTCGGGTAGCGTTCTCATTAAAAGAACGTTCTCTTGAACTGACTGCCCGAATATGGCATGATACGTCACACGTCTCATGAAACGCTACAAAAACCAACGAAACGAAAGTGAATTGAAACTTACACCAGGATTGTCGAAATCGATTTCATTCTGGGCGAATGATTTGATTACCAGAGCTGATAATAATATGGGCAGTATCATATCTGAAACAGTACGTCCTGAGTAAATTGCTTGGCAAACACGAGATCAAAACTCGACAAAAAAAATGAAAATTGCTGATGAATACGAAACATCTAGGTATGTGCGATGAATCTAGCACAAGTGAGATCACCTAGTGACTGAAAGATAAGACAGCCGTGGGAGTGCGGTGGTGGGGGGTAGCAAGTGTTGAAGAGAGCGCTAGAACGAAGACACGAAACCGGAATATTCTCTCTCTGCGGCCACCTGTAGCAGCAGCAGCAACACACAACATGCCCTACAATACTGGTATGCACTGAAGACGATTTGTGATGGAGATGACAGTGAACGGGAGGAGGCGGAAAGAAGATGAAAACTGCGTCGCATCGCATGTGTGTGTACGTGTGTGTGTGCGAAAGAGTGGAACTTAGGGAGGCCTGAGACCCATGAGGATCTCAAGGGTGGCCTCCGCCGACGGCGGTGGCGTCGTTGAACAGATCGAACCCGTTATGTTGTGCGGCTAGCCCCCCAATCACACCAATCATCATATTCATTTCCCATAGAGTGGACACTCACCACAAATCGAACGTAGTGACCTTATCATCTGCGAGTAAGCTTAAAGGCAAGAATCAGGATTAAATTGATGGGGTGATTCCACTCAAATGTGAAAGTAGGGATGGGAGGTGGACCGCCAGTGGAGAAAAAAGGAAGAAAATCCTGAAATACACAGGAAATACGAGCATTTTGCTCTATGCTGTGGAGAAGTTCAAAAGACAGGCAGGGAGATGAGAGATAATGTGAGCGCGGAGAGTGGTAGAGAAGTAAGCACATCAACGTGGCGACGCAGACAAGATATCGAACGGTGGGCGGACCATGTTAAGTTTGGTGGAGTCTGTTAGAAGTCCATGGCGCCTAGGGTCCTAGTGACGCGTTTCGATGTAGAAAGGTGGCCTTAGCTACCTTTGCACTTGAGTACCCAGCACTTCTTCCATGGTAAGAGCTTCTTAGGTGGGTCTGAGCCCGAACTTATTTGATAAAAAAAGCAGTATGATATATTCGATAAAATTGTATACTATTGGGTGAAGAATGAACATTAAGTTGGATAACATCATGAACGCACATTTCGCGATCAATTATAACGTTGAAAATAAAGAAACAGATAGCAAATGAACCAGCGAAACTACCAAAGCGTAAAAGCGCACTGACAGTCGAGGGTGTGGGCGGAGACTGCGCCCTCATCATTGGCCCCCTAACCTTCGTTATGTCGACGAGGAGGAGCGGACCAATGGTAACGACCAATCTCTCGAAACACGATTCGCGTGCAAGTAAGTAATAATAGCTCCAAACAGCCTTCTTTCTATCTCTTCCTATACGGCCTTCGATTAAAAGCTTCATTTTACAAAGTAAGAAACGGAATTGAATTCAATAGCGAACAGCCAAATAGGCGCTTAGACTCCTTAACTCTTATCAAATGCGTTGTTTTAATCTCCTTGCGTCAGTGACTACGCTTTTGGGCTGCTTGGTGAGATGGGATCCGCTACAATGTCCTGCTACGGTCATATGTCGCCTTAACTCTTGAACCTTCGACGTGTGTCAAAAAGAAAAGGAGACCGAGACACAATCGGAATCACGAAAACGTCCAACTCAGCATGAAAAAAGGCAAAATCCATGAATTGCTCGTTTGAAAGAAGCACGCTTCACAGTTTCCTAGCTATAAACTAAGTGGTGCCTGCTGCCCCGTTCTCACTCAAACACTTCGTTACGTGACATTTAGTTGGTGTCCGTAATTTGGCTCACTTTGTATCTAAGTTGATTCCAGATGTAGCAGCGTATCTGTCTGTTGCGGTGATTCTCAGGTCGATCGCAATGATGCTATAATTCGATGTGCTTCTAAATCAGTGATGTGCCTGGAGGTTTACCCTAGAAGCTTTGGTCGGGTTATAATAATGTGAGATAGCGTCGCAGTAGCTAAGAGGGAAAAGGCATGCCGTGTTAGTGCTGTCTTCTAACATAGAAGCAGTAGTTTCTTAAAATTGATTGTTTTGAAAGAAATGATCTTCTTGGAAGTCTTTTTGAGAATACTTGATCCAGGATCTAGTTTAAAGGAACATGTGAAGTAAGCTGCATTTTTTTTGATCGTTTCGGCTGTGTTGCTCGTGGCGTCCGTTTCGGCAGTAGATGTTAAGATAAATGATTTCTCTCTGCGCAAAGGCGAAGTAGAGACAACTAGGATTTACTTCTATCTGTTGCGAGACAAGACCTCTTGGAGGTATTATGCGTGTCCAGCTAATGGGCGCCCCTGCCCCCAGAAGAAAAAAGCAACAGCGACAAGAGGTAGTGTATAGGCAGTTGACTGTAGAATTAACAAACATAGGACTTGTGTGTATGAAAGAGGAGGCGCGATTTCACTCTCAGCGATGAAGTGTTTGGCATTCACTGAAAGAGCATAGCCAGCTAAAGGCTGGTTCGAGTGTCATTGGTAATGGATTGCCCGTACGTGTATCGCCGTGTTACAGCAAGTGAGGCGTCACTGTCGCATATTTTTACTTAATCAAGTACAAATGGAGACAGTATGCCCATATAATGTGTTGTTATTCTGTTGGAGCCATGTGCAGCAAGGTACGCCTGCCAGAGATTTCTGAAAAATCGGATTGTTGCCGCAGTTTGATTATGTTGTACTATAGTCATTCATTGCAGAGATAGGAGCCGATTTCTTAGTAACATTCGTTCAGTTAAGAAAGGGAATTTCCTCTCATTCAAAGTGCAAGATAGCATAACACCCAAGCGCTTTGCTGGTAGTCCGTAAGAGGCCCAAGTTCTTCATATCCGTTCTCATTAGGGACACAGGTAGGGATCTTCTTCTTCTTTCCACTGTACCTGCCCTGACTTCTTCTATAGCTGTGGCTGGTTCAAGATTCAGCGTGCTTAAGGTTTCCATATGTGGCCTCTTGGAAATGTTTGCGGTTCCCAGGCATATAATCAGCCAAGAATCCTGCTTGTTTTCTTTTCCGAGCCAGTTAGAAAATCGTCCTCCCTTGTCCACAGAGTTTACCCCCCCCCCCCCCCCCCATCGCTGCCCCTTTTTCAGTCACTGCATCGGTGCCCCAAGGAATCATGCTTTTCCAAGGAAAATATGCTTTTCAAAGAAAAAACAGGCTTCTTCAAGGAAAAGCAGGAGTTACTTTGGGAAGAGACAACATGACCAGCATCTGTTCGACCAAACAGAGATGAACCTAAACGACCATCTAAAAACGACGTTATCAACAGAGCTTCAAATAAAACACCTGTAAGCAACAAGGAACGTCGCAGTATTATTGAACACGTCAGTTCCTGTTCCTGGAAGCGTTTGGCGAGGAAATACCACGATAACTAACTAGTTTTCAGAGATCTTGTAATGTGGTTTGAGAAATCCATGGGATTTGGAAAGGCTCGAAGCAAAATCGCTCATGAACCGACCCCTATAAATAGTCAATGAAGAAGTGTAAGCGACGCCTTCGGAGGACGAATTTGCGAGCGAAAAGGCAACACTTCGGTACAGCTTTCGCACGTTGTTCCAATCCGGTCTGCAAGGTGTGGACATCTTTGGGGAAAGGCCGGCTGTAAAAAAACTCTGAGAAGTGTTCGTCGTAAAACTTCTAATAAGCACCTTTAAACCAAGAGTGGGGGTTCGAGTGTAAAAAATCGAATAGGATGCAAAAACTGGAAAGAAAAGAATACAAAGGTAGCATGTCGGAATGGAAGTGAAAGCTTCAGTATCAGTTGGGATAGCTTAGAAGATAACGAGACCAATACTTATGTGTTACTTTGTAAATATGTCATTCAAAGAAAGGTAAGAGGTAGAGAAAGTTTCAACGTGCAACGAATGGTGTCTTGAAAGCATGGGTGCGGGTTCGAGTCAAGCTTGAGGTCGACCGCTACCCACAGAGGTTACCTAAATTGTCATCACGTTTACACTTTGACATAATATCAGACACCAAGAAAGAATTCCTGGACAACTGACACACAATAGAAGCAAAGTAACCGATGGGTCGAAATCTCAGTCAGAAACCAAAGTACTGCTTTCTTTGACCTCAAATCCTCTGCAATCATTTAGGTAGGAGGAACTGATTTCATTGCATGTCTACGAAGTGGAGGCTAAGGGACTTCTCTAAGTTTCCACCCTTAAGAGCAAAAAAAAAAGCTCAGAAGCAGTAAACGATGGCTTGAGGGCCTAGCGGTTTCAAACACGTCATTGGGTGTCATGGTGGAGCGGGCATTGCGCCACACCTTCATTACGCACGGGGTTCTCGTCCACCTGACGCCAACTGCAGCAGTCGAAGCCGCACCGCCCTCCAGTCATAGTGTTCACTGCCTTTAGGTTTGAAAAATAACTTTTCATCTCGACAGTGATGAATTACGGATCAAGTTCTCAAGCAAACAAAACATATTAGTTCTATACTAGACAAATCAATGTATTTATATAATAAACAACATAGCTTACATCTCATAGACGTAAATAAGTGTCGTCCATCTTTATGTGGTGCAAGATCGCATACAAAATCCACACCAAGTCAGTAGAGGGAGACCGCAAAGCTTCACAAAGGACATAAGCGAAGGGACTACGATTAGGAAGAAAAATTACGCACTTCGCATCCTGTCTTCAAATCGAACGGATCAATTGGCAAATTTTAGGATAGCGGCGGAAATAACCGTGGCTACGACAAGGTCGAGTTGCGCTTGATTGCCGTGAACACAACCTTCGCTCAATTATTGATCAGGAACACTTCTGTGAAACGGTCTTCTGTGAAGTTGGAGAGAGAGAGAGCAAATTGCGATATTCCGCGCCACCCACTTCAATTGACTTGGGTAGTTTTTGAACGGTAAAAGAACAGTTTTGCGGGAACAATAGTTGGACGGTGAAACCGTTGTTGAAGTGTGACAGTCAGTCTCACTATTGTCGAACTTCCTTGAAGTGTGTTTCACCACCGGCAACGATGGGGCCTCGACTTGCAAGCAGACTGTGCGTTGGACAAAGTCCAACGAGGGGTGGGGGGGGGTCGTATTTGGGGTGGAAAAAGGGGGGTCGTATTTCGCGAGGTAGCGTTAATGTTACAGTAAGGGAAGTGATGATGCAGTTGGTTGGCGCGCTAAAATTTTGCCGTTTCACGGTGTGTATAAGCCCCCCTAAGAAATGTTGGTGAAATAGGGGGGAAGTGAAAGGATGTTTGCGGTTTCGTGGTAGGTTTATACCCCTCCCTCCCCGCTCGACGGTAATTTTGGAGGAAAAAGTGGGCGGAGTTTGGGCTGTGTCGACTGGTCTCAGAATCGAATACTATGGAATGAGCCTCCTATCGAGGTCCTCTAGAAGGGGGGTCGTAAATATTTCGAAATCGGTCCAATTGGACAGGTTGACCCTGCTTGCAAGTGAGAATTTCGTTTCCTCCGTTACTTTTTTACCAACAATTTCGAAAATAGGATAGAAAAGGCGTTGCGATCAGAGATGGCAACCACAGATAGTGACAGGGGAAATCAACTGGGTACGACAGTCGTGGATATCTCGATGAGCCGGTATTTTGTAAGTTTCTCAAACTCCTGATATCAACAATAACCTGAGTTCCAGCTCGCGGTCGCGAGCAGCTATGCTTTCCAGTACAAACTGCGAGCACACTGTCCCCGAATCATTTGAGCCTCGTTTTCAGAGTGCAGTAATTGTACAGTGACTTTGGAACAATATTTACTGCTTACAGGAAGGGACAACTATGCGTCCTGTCAATCCGCAAGAGGGGTTGTGCTTGAGATTTTTGGGAAGGGAGATCGTACTTAGACCTTCTTCAGGTAATCTCGATACAATGCCCTCTCCCAAAAACTGCAAAATTAGGTCGGCCATGCCCCATAGGATTTGGAAAACTTTCTACGCTCTAATCAAAGGACCCTATTCGCGGCAAGGATTTCGATGTTTGCAGGCCTCTACACCACAATTAGTGATCCTCAGACTCAGACAATAGTCGAGAGCTTGTCACCGTTACGTCTTTGTGCGCCGAGCTGTCAGAGGTCGAACAATCAGCAGGAAAACGAGACTGCCACTGAGGCTATAAAAGTCCGTAGAATCAGGTGAGAGTTCATGTTCCCGAAAACAGTATAAGCTCTCCAGAAGCACCTGTAGAACGTGATTTTCGCATAGAGAGGGCATTCATCTTGTTTGAAGAGGAACAGTAGTTAAATTGTTTGTTTCTCTTTATAGCCGCTCATTCCAGTTTATTGCTTCCTTCACAATGGTCCCATGAGAATCTTTGGATAGCTCGATTTATTTCTGTTGAGGAAATTCCTCATGACAGTGTGTGTTATTTACATTTGGTGTCCTTCTCGCCTTCAAAAACCTCAGCCTTGGTCCGATTTTTCCTTTTTTTTTAGCAGAGACTGTTTTTCTTCGATAAAAGTCCCATTAATTACTACATGTAACCAGTGCAAATCATTTTTTAACGAGATAAAATTTCTGCTTCTGGGAATTGTACCATCGAAAAAGCTGATTTTCTCGGGCTACATTGAAGCCTCCCGCTTATTCCTTCTCCCTTTACCAAGCGTTCATCGGTTTTCCAGATGTGCTGCACTATATTTATTCTTGCTGCTCTGACCGTGGTATCTACAGCGTTGCCAAGTTCAACGGTGAGCTCCAGCTCAATTTACTGCTTCAATTTGTATTGAACTAGCTTGAATTCTTCACATTATAGAATATGGGTTCGATTGCGACATGGAGGGCTAAACGGCAATGTTTCATGGGCAGATGTGGCACGACTCCGTTGTGCAGTATTTGCCCAGTGTGCTGCTCGGATTCACCACAAATGGTTATGGAGATGCCGCCACCAAAGAGCTGTTGTGCAGCCCCGAGACCGTCACCAAGTTGCTGTCAAGCGCCGTCACCACCACCTCCTCCTCCTCCAGTAGTCTCGGCTGTTCAGTGCTGTAGAGCTGCTCCTGCACCAATGAATCCCTGTTGTCAGGTATAATGCAGATTTCGCGTTTCTTTCAAATTTCCAATTCTTGCTTTTTAGGCTCTCGCTCCTCCACAGCCACCACTTGATCAAGAGCAGTGCTGTCTTGCAGCGCCATCTCCAAATAACATTTGCTGTCGAGAGATGGCTCCTGCTCAAATGCAAGGGCCACCTCCTTGTAGATGTGGCGCCCGTCCGGCAGAGATGGAGTGTCCCAGCTGCATTCCCTATAGACCAAGGTATTCCCAGATTGCGAATTGAGCTTGAATTTAAGACTTTCTCCAGCACAGAATGTTTACTTTAGATGCCCTCCGATGGCGATCTCCTGCAGACTAGCGTTTCGTGTCAGAAGAGACGCCCATCAAGCGCTGCTTCCTCGTCTGCAAACACACTTGTTGTAACACAAATTCGATTGTTCATTGATTGGTTAATTATTGTCAAAGATTTTGAGATACAACATTGACTTTGACAATTTGAGGAAATCACTTGTTCAAAAGGCTGTCAATAAGATCCTGATCATTAATGGGACGCACAGCCATCACAGCAATCTCAGGTCACGAAACACGTAATGCGATCCTGGCCTGACAAAGCTAAGTACTGCAAATTCTCTTCGCTCAAAGCTGTGAAGCAATGATGTTGGCTGAGTCTAATTCCCTATTATTAGAGGGTAGTTATAGAGTGATTCGATGTCGCAGAGATTCGAACAATCGGTCGGTGACCTCACCAGAAGAAACTTCCACTCTGCGCTTGCTGGAGCGCATTTTTACAGACTCCAATGATAATACCACTGCTGGTGCAGACATGTAGTGATTGCAACCGTATACTCGGTACGGATACTGCAAGACCAAGGATTCCTATGAATGATTGGGGCGTTATCCTTTAGGCGGGATGGTCAGAGTCCGCGACGGTGCGCGTTCGCCGAGAGATCCAGTGCTACGACCAATACTGCGAGCCTCTCTCCGATCCCGCGGCCACTTATTGATAGTAGTGGTTGAATAACGATTGATGACCATGACTCTACTTGTTCCATGTTCAGTATTACAAACGATGCATTTGCGAGTTTTGTTAATCGAGCGACGGATCGCAAACTCTGACACTAGCCAACGCGTAATCTGTTGGTGAATTCAAGCTCAGGGTTATGAAAGATAACAGCTTGTTTATAAACTATAATTATTCGCCTTTCTTTAGTTTTTTGTATGCGGTCGTTTTTGTGCACGTTACAACCGAAGAATGCTTTATGAGTGGGGATGAGGATTGTTGAGGACTAAGCTAGACTGAAGGCTCTGAGGAAGAATTAGACACCTCCAGGTTTTTCTCCAACGCTGGGGAAATTCTACTGGATGGCATCGACACATTTTAGACGACGAAAACTACAAGACGTAGACAGAATACAGGAGGCTTCGACATGGGCGCTTTTTCAAAGGGGGTGTTTGCAACTGGGGAGGGCGCATGGAGGCCATAGTGCCTGATCCTTTTTCCTGAACGCCCCTAGGAACACAAACGTGGTACAGTTGCGTAAGGGTTCGACCGGTGATGATATTTTTGCAGTTTCGTTGGCACTCAATTTGCGCCAAACGGCAGGTGTAAGATAGATGTCACATCGTGTTTTGCGGCATTGAAGCACAACGTATTTTGCAAAATTAGTCATCACCGGGGATCGAACTCTGGACCATTTTCACCACTGTTTTGACATTCCTGGAGGCGTTCAGGAAAAATGGATCATGGTTCTGTGTTCCTCGCATGAGCCTCTACAACATGCAGAAAACCATTTCGAAAAAGCGCTCCATGTCCTGAAAGACCTCCCTTGTAAGTTTCATAGTTCTCCTGCGCTTCTCGTAATCCATTGGTCTTCTACCGATAAAACAACTAATTGCTGTACATGGTTTCAAATGCTTTGCTGCGAGCTCTGAATTAAATCGTTAGGACTTGTGACCAGATTCGGTCCTATCGTTGAGCCTTTTTGCAAAATTTTTACGACCCACCCCTCTTCACAACTTCCTTTTCCCTCCAAAACACCGTCGAACGGGGTGGTATATAACTACCGTGAAACCGCAAAAATTCCCCTCACTTTCCTTCTATTTTACCTGCTTTCCCCTACAACATTTTCTAGGGAGGTATATACGCAAACGGCAAATTTTCTCCCGCGCGCTCTCACCTCATCACATGTAATTTCGTGCTACCGAAACAAGTACGACCCCCCCCCCCCACCACAAACTTCAACAAACTACGACCCCCCGTTGGTACTTGTCCCAACGTAGGGTTGACCCTGCTTGGGACATCACGTACGAGCCTTTCCTTCTTGAAACCCTTCTCCTCTCTTCGCTACAGTTCCATCACGGGTTTCTCCACTTGTGCCTTACGCTTGCTGCCATAAACAATTCAATGACTGACGACTGCGTCAATGTGCCCTTGCTTCTATTTATTTGTGTCAGCCTTAACAGTTGATAGCCCAAAGTAAAACCACATTTCACGGTAAGTTGAGTGGGACAATCCCATACGTGAGCATCGTGTATAGCGTAGGGATAGTGCCTCGAAGGTGTGCGATGGCTTACTCGAGCCGAGGCTTACTATCCAGGGCCGGATGCCTTACGAGGCAAGAATCGCCACCGTTTTAGACTCAGTGATGTCTGCGCCTCGCTCTACCTTATGGTCTCTCGTTCCGGAGTGAATGTCCATGACAGCTACCTCTTTCGTCCACGCAAAAAATTTTACGTTATTTCTGATATTTTCGACGAACTCTTTTCCCTCCTCCTTCACTGGCACAGCATTTCTCAAACCCATTTACAAACCCAAGAAACCTATCTGCCCAATCATGGGATGTAAAGATAGTCGTAACGAAAGCTTCTATAACGCCATGAAGAAACTAAAGCTCTCTAACAAAAACACTTTATTATCAATAACATGAATAAAAACACAATAAGAGATGTAACCCCCCCCCCACCCCTCTCAACAAAAAAGAACAGTAAGCTATTGAGCCCTCCCCACCATCCCCCCTAAAAACAACATCAGTTCAATTCAGCCCCCCCCCACTCCCAAATACAACAGTGGGCTATTCAGCCCTCCCCCCCCAACCAATAAACATATCAAAAAACTCTGCCTCCCCCTCCCTCTTGTACACACTAGTGTGCATCCCCCTGCTGATGGAACACATCCCCCTCCTCGATTCCCACATTTTCCCCGCCGATATCATCGTCGACGTCGTTGCCGGGGCCTCGGGGGCCTGTAATGTAAATCATAAAATACAATCATGAATGAATGCAATAATGTAACTAATTATCATTGGGCTATAGTAAACCCTAGGAGGGTTCGGTGCGAGATCGAGAAATCGTAAGCGCTTAAATTTTCTCCAAGAAATGGGAAAGGGCAGTGGTAACAGGGTTCAAGTGCTGCTGTTGGCCTGGGTGCGACACATGGCGGTCCACACATGGGTATAAGACGCGTTGAATTTACTCATGGGTGCCATCCCCACGAGGATTCCCAAGTTATTCTGGCCACTAGGAAAACAGAACCCATAACCACACCCTTACCAACGGCTCGACTGTGACGGACCAGCGACCTTCAAAAGCGCTAGTGAAGTAACGTTTGAAAAACACTTTTTCAGAACC